TGGAATTGTCGATCGATGGTTTGCCTCGTGGATGTTTTGACGTGGAACCTTCCGAGTGAATAACTATTATGAGAATTTTACTCCCTTCGTTGATTAGAAATGGTTCTTTCTGGCCCGGGACAGACAATCCACTGTTTTGGAATAAGTTGAAGATCGCCATGAGCTTCGTATCTTAAAACGTCAGCTTCGGATTTTTCATATTATGATTGCACTTCTCGTGCATTGTCATTTGGAGATGTGAGGTGCTGTAATCCATGCCATTTGACTTGATTGAATAGGCAAGTTCAAACGCGAAAACACAAAGCGAAGCAGAACAAGAGAGCTCCACCTCAGGGGTCAAGATTTGGTTCCATATCATGTAGAAATTTCATGCTTCTTCCCGTCACTATCAGTTTGTTTGAGCTTTCTACGTGACGTGTACGTGACGTAACAAGATATCAGGCAACACCAGCTCACGAGCCTTGACAAAGTCAAGTCCTTCTTGGAAGTGATGATGAATCCAAAGGAGTATTGAGGACAGTAGCTGAGTCGGTTTCTCTGGCTGCAGTATCTGTAGTATGACTCGGTCAGAGCCGTACCGAGGATATTTGGCGCCCTGTGCGAAATATCAATCTAACACCCACCAATCTCTATACCTCTCCAGTTTCCCCAGCACAAACAATACATTACGTATTAATTTCTATGTTTAGTTTAGTTAAATGCAGGATAATTTGCAATTTTTTTTTAGCTTTATATATATATTGTAATGATTTGGCAGCCAATCGGCGCCCCCCTCAGTTCGGCGCCCTGTGCGGGGCACCGCTCGCACACCCCTCGTTACGGCACTGGACTTGGTTTCACCAAAGTTTGACTCGTGTTTCAGTGATAACGTTGTTTGAGGCTAGTCCTTGTTCACCGGTTTCCGAAGTGCAACGCAATGGAGTGGAGCAGCAAGACGATGATAAACCGAGGGAATTTCCTCAGGTAAGCGTATGTGAGGCAGAATGACTAAATACAGTAGAACCGAGTCTTATCACTCCTGAAACCCCCAAATACTGAAAGGAAGGAAGATGCCGATGCACATACTCGTCAAAGCGTGGGAAACGAGGTTCATGAATACGATGCTGGATTCGAAAACTCCAAGAGGCGTGGAATCGAAAGTGAGGAAGCCCTAGTTTCCTACACGGTTCCTACAGATGCAAGAGATTCTGGAATGAAAAGTGATGAATATGGAGTTGGGAAGGGAACGGTATGACAGAACTTAAGAAAATACTGACCCTGGACCAGTAGCGTGCCCAGAAAATCCCAATGGGGGGGTTAGCATTTGAAAAATTGGTGACCCACGATGGCCCCCCAATTTTTTTTTGAGAATCGAACCTGTAAAATGTATCCCAAGGGGGGGAAGGGGTTATGACCCCCAAAACCTCTCACTCCTTGGGCACGCTACTACCCTGGAGAATTCAAAGCAGCTCAGGTATTACCGCGAACTGGAGCGAACAGAAGCTAGAACCAGGGGGGCACAGACTTGAAAAAAAAAAGGTGCGCCACCTAAGCGGATCGTGAGAAAAATGCGAGCAACAGGAAACTCGCGCCGCAGGGGGCTAGTAGAGCTAAACTCACGCCAAAGGTGGGGGGGTTTGTACAGGTACAAGGGGTTGTATTATTAGTAACTTGCAACAAGAGGGGCGGGGAGATGAAAGAAGAAAAACTCGAGGCACAATATGTTCGCAATCGGGCTGTGCTGATCCCTGAACTTAAATATACAGTAGAAGTTGTTGGTCTAGGCACAAGAAATGCCGATATAGGAAATCATTAGAAGAAAGAATGGAGAACTGCACTGTTAGTATGAACGAAGCCAAATAACTTTTTGACTTTTTGTCGCTCCCGTTGTTTAAGGGAAAACCTGGGACATGGAAATGAAGTCACCATAGACACTGGGTTCCGTTGATTGAGTCACAGCAGTTACCTAGTAGAGGAAAAGAGGGGAGTGAAAACTATAGGTTGACCTGATGCCTGTTCCTCGCCTAAATCTAAGTCAAAACTACATACTGTATAATCTAAAAGCAATGGAGGTCTTTTTCTAACCTGTGCTAAGAGGTCGATCTGAATCTAAGTCTAATCTGCAAGTAGTCTAAAATGAAAAGTCTGCTTCTCGTCCAGACTAGATTCTAGAACCATCTGGAAATTTCGTCTACAAAGAGGGAATAATATTAAGGCTGACCCAATTCATAAGCTTAATAAAATGTTGAGAGGACATAAAGAAAGTAAATATTCAGTATCAAACATTCCCTGGGATATGTCATCGGCAACTCAAGTGACAAAAAAGAAAGCCGTCGTGCAACATAGTCAGCCATGTAGGTCGGTCAATCGAATGCACAGGCCAGCAACATTGCTTCCCGGTCACATATCAGAGCAAATGTTTTTTGTATTCAATTTTTACTCTTATTTCAATTCATCTCGACATATTTGACAGCATTCAGACAGGGTTAGAGTATCCTTAAAATATTCCTCTTTTTTAAATGAAGTTTTAGCATGAGTCTAAATTTTTTATTGGGCGATAAACAGACTTCTCGTTTGATTTTTCTCAGATTAGATTTGAATAAATTTTAGACCAGCTTTTTAGTGTAGGCGAGGAACATAAGTACAACTTGTACTTGGCTGCTTTTTTGCATTTCTTTTGGATTAGATTTAGATTTGGTTTAGATTCAATTTACCATAAGCGAGGAACAGGCTCAAGGAAACAAAGAATGCTGAAACTAGCGGAAACTCAGGAATTGTCAATGGTGGGAATGAGACAGCAGAGGCGGGTGATATTGTGGAAAATAAAAGGGATGCGGATCACGTGAGGGGAAGCGGATTCCCCCCTAGATCTCAAGAGCTGGATAGACCGATCCAAAGATCCAGGCTCGTTCTCCCTAGGACGACATTCTTGAGTATACTAGCCCAGCTGCCTCGAGGTGTGTGGGAAGATTGAGAAGTAGGGGACAGCTGGAATTCACCCCAGGCATTCGACCTGCGAATCGTTATGCAGGCGTCTTCAATGACGGCGACGAAGGGAAAGGGTAGCCAAATCGCATCGCTCCCACGGATCCTGAGGGAATTATAATAAGGAAGGAAAGGAAAATAAATCTGAAGGTGTGCATATAATTGAGGAGGGATGGTCCTTTGGCGAAGATCCAGCGCAATGATTATCAGATAATTACTGAAAGTGATCGTTCAAGCCTGAAGCAAGTGATAGAGAGCCTGGGAAAGTATTGCCCCCAAAAAGAGAGCGGAAGTAGAACTGGCACTTATGGCATCTCGACCTGTGCTGTGAAGAGCTTCATGAACCAACTGCCTATTTCTTCCGTATGTCTTTATCTATGCAGCGCCACTTTCACGATTCTCGTAATTCAGGTGCGGATTTTTTCCTCCAGAGGTTCGCTATTCGCACCAATTGGGAACCATTCCTAGAGGACACAGAAAAGCTCTCATTGGGGCAACGTCGGGTGAGCATGCCATACGGATCCTTGACGCTGAAGTACGGCCTATAAAAGTCCTTTTTATGGTTATGTTGGGAAAACCCATACTCCAAACGACCTTCCTTCTGTAGATGTGTGTCCTGCCGATAATGGTATGTGATACTCTCTGCGGAAATGGAGTCCGTGAATATAAAGATCAACCCCTTCCGTGCCACGCTTGTAGGTCATTACCTTCGCAGCTATGATTGAGCAGCCTTCATTCAAAGCACTTTGTTTAAGCTGTAAGCAGGGTTCTAGGTTAAAGACGTGAATTCGCGTATTACGTGACACTCGCGGAGTTTGTGCCTTCACTAATGCATAGAGCACATAGAGATTTTACTAGACTTATTTTCGACCGGTTTGGGGGGAGTGGGGGGGGGGGGGCTTTCGGTGGCACTAAAGGGGTGAAGGAGAGGAATGAGGAGACAGAAGAGAATGGAAAACTTCATCCCAAGTGTCTCTTCAAAGGAACGAATCGGGCGAGTATCTCACTCCGATTCCATTTTCCGATCTTGATCCCCTTATTCCGTGACTGCAATCTTCATTAATGAGTTTCATGCGATTTTTACAAATCGACAGCGGATAGCATATTGGACTGAAGGAGGATTTGAACCCTATCAGCTTCATGAAAGAGGTCCAAAATGCCTAGTATCCCCAGAATTGCACCGTAAGTTCCGTCTTTTATTGGAAAACGCTTTTTCATTACATCAAATTTCGTAGTATTAGTTTATTTTACAGCAAGTTTATCTTGCCAAGATGAAGGACTTTTTCTCAACATTTCTGTTTGCAGGAAGGACTTCGTAAATGGAAGAAGAAAGAGCAAAATGCTGGAGTCGATCCACATGCTTCTATAGACGTCTTAAACAAATAAGGTTCCGCGACTGGGGGAAGGCGAAATGCAGAACATGAGAAAGGAAATCGATTGTGCCAACAGCCAAAGTACACGATCCTCGTTCCAGGGCTGCGCTTGCGAGAATCTGAATGATCCAATATGAAACAACGATTTTCATCATTATCGGAAATGCTATTCTTCGAACCGTGAACAGTAAAGCGGAATGTGATACATCAAAGACACGTCAAAACATAGATGGCAGAGAAGTATAAAGAAAAAAGTTGCAGGGACGCAACAAAAAGGAGAGAGAAGAAAAGGTATAAAATCTTTATCTTATTATTTTTAAAATGCGAAATTTGAAAGGAAAACCCGTAGACGCTTTTCCGTGTTTTCTTTCCAGCCCTGTGCCCATGGCTCAACCGGCAAACGGACTGACATAGTTTGCAGCATCAATGCCATGTAACGTCCCGATTTTCACTGGGGAAGTTATTTCTCCGGAGTGGCATTGAGAAAATAGTGAATATATCGATTCCCAATCGATGCTGTAGTTAGGTTCAGAGGGAGAGAGAGAGAGGGAACGTGCATAAAACATCAGATGGGAGGTACGGAACTCTGGTAGCTCAGGGTCGCATCGATTTGTTATGTTTCGCTATCCTAGCTACGCCATCCAATAGGACATACCCTATAGGGACCTTTTCCCTCATCCTCTTTCGTAGCGGGAGAGAGGTAACCTAGACCTAGTCAGTCGAAGGTCGACGGTGATACAGGTGACGCTTAAAGGATGGGAGGCAAAGAAAGCAAAGAGCCTGTCAAGACCATCTCCGTCTCTTCAGCTCCTCTTCATTCTCACAATCGTAATCCTCCAGTCATACGTCTCGACGATTCTGAAGATTTGGACGAAGAAAACTTCATCATCCATAGCGACCTTGGGGTAAGACGAAACTACTGTGACTCTCCTTATCCTCCTCCATCGCAATCAACTGAAAGAAATTGATTATAGAATACACGGTATGATAGGAATTGGAACATTCCGCTTCGTGTAGGAATCTCTGGATTTGAGGAGGGGTACATCTCTAGTGCCAACTTCGGCTATAAGCACCGATTCCACGGATTCTGGAGTATTCGATGAGCTAGACGAAGAATACGGACATGTCATCACGGAGAAATCGTCGCCCGAGCTGGTGGCCCAAGTCGAGAGGGACTTCGTGCCGCCTCAGCATCTTGGTGAGCAATCAGCGAATCACTAAACGCATCTCCAAATAATAATTGAGGAGGGAAATCTGGTGTGATATCCTTAGATCTGACGATTTATGGTAATGCATGCCGCCGTCTACTGAGTGGAAGCCAGAGGGTGCGAATGGAAGAGAGTCAGGTGCTGAACTTGCTACGAGAGGAGGGCCTCCTTGCCACGAATCCTACCAAAGGTGCTGCTGGTCTCAGGTAGGCCATGCTCAATCACAGATCTCGAGTTTCAAAACCAAGATTGCCTAGGGTTTAAAGAGCGGATTAATGCTGTTTCGATTGCTAAGCGGTCCGCCAAAAAAGTGAGCCCTTTCCTCATCGGCGAATTCGCCTTCGTGGAAGAGATTACTTGATGTGTATATGCCGCATAGAGTAAATTGATTGCACCCAGAAACAGGCATGACATCTTGCTTGGTTCTGAGGGAGATGGTTTTTCGTTTGGAACCTTCTGATCATCTCGGAACTGATTTTCGTTGAAATCAGTCATGGAGACGTTAAGGGCACCTTATGATAAAAGCAATATCTACATTTGCCGTGAGTTGGACGCTTTCAGAGGGAAAAAAAATGGAAAAAAAAAGAAAAAAAAGAAACAAAGAAAGAAAGAAAGGCACATGGACGTTTGGGTAGTTGAGAGTAGGTGACGCAAATCCTCGGCTAGAGGCGGAGCGTAAGGAAGTTTCGTCGCTCAAGTCGTCTTGTGAAATAAAATATGTCCATTAACCTCTAAAAGAGAGTGGCCTTACCCCTTCATGGACATTCGGACGGTATCTATGGTTGGGGCAATATTGACTGATATGAATAGTATTCCTCCTCGGATCTGTGTTGCACTTGGCTCATGCTTTAACCAGAAAAATTGATCTCTCTTTTTGTCTGACCGATTAATTCCTGTGTCGTGAACCGACTTGAAGTACACCCCGACACAAAACATATTTTCTTATTCATAACAACTAGCTTCGAGATTGTTGATGCGGGACTTGCAGAAGGGCAGGGAAACGACTTGGATTCCTCGTCGTCGTCTGTGAAGCTTCCCCCATTGAGACTCCTTCAAAGTCAAGAACCCAGAAAGAACGTCACCAATTCAAAAATAACGGAGAAGTTAGAAAAAGCCGAGGAACGTCGGAAGGTACATTGGAAGATTCCCTAAGTGGTGAAAATTCGAAAATGCGAAGAGGTCTACTCTTCAATGTGCACAGTCGTACACTTCTTTGCGCAGGCTGCCGAGGAAGAAAAACTGAAGCGGTTGAACATGGAAAAGAAGCAGGAGGCGAGCCAGAGACAACAACAGTCTCAAGTGGAAAAGGTCGAGAAGTATTCGTCGCGGGTTGACGCCGCTCAGGACAACAGGTATTCATCTCCTGAGATGCTCACCTCATTCTCCGTCTCTCGAAAGCCAGTCGGTGCATCGTCACCGAGCCGAGGAGTCGGGAGAGTTCGTCAATTAATTCAGTCGTTGCTGCTTATTTCAGGGCACAGTATTTGCAACAGCTGAGGGCGAAGCTGAAGGATCAACATCAGAAAGCGGCGAAAGTCCGGCTGAAGAAGATGCAAGAAGTCCCCGCTCCCATACCGATTCCAGTCCCGGTTCCACCGTCGAATACCTCTTTCGATGACGATTTCTTTGCCTGAAACATCAAAATGGCTGGCTTTATCTGTGATTCGTACGATACATGGAAGAAGATATATACATAAGAAATGGACTGAATTCCTTGGTTGAATGATTCCGGTATCTTTTCTTAGAAATCCAGCAAAAGCAATGATGTCATGATGACACTATAGGCAAGGGTAGGGCTGCGAGGAACCGCCGTGAGTCACTACGTGCGTAACCTTGAGAGCCTCTCTCTCTCTCTCTCTCTCTCTCTCGGGTTCCATGTTAGTAATGAGTTCCGGTCAGGGGAAGTAGGGGGAGAGAGAGAGTGGGGAGAAGGGGGGGGGGAGGGGGGGAGAGAGAGAGAAAAACGGCCGGAGAAATGCTTGGCCTAGCTCACTGTCGGCATCGGCGCCTCCTCAGACGAGTCACAATCACGAGCGGAACAAGTCCCGTCCTTGTCCAAGGGTTTCTCATATTTCATCCGCTTCAAAATGGGCTGCAATTTCCTCTACTTGTGCCGGCCTTCCGGAATTCTTAAAATCATCCAAATTGTAAGTCCCTATTTCCTCCTTATCGAAAACAGGAAATCTGCGTAACTGACATTGTCATTAGTGAGAGATTGCATCGCGAACGCTAAAGGGATGGATTGTTTATGCTCCGTTTCCTACTTTGATTTGGATGTCAAGGCATAAATGCGAAGCCTCACCTACAAAAAGGCTAAGAAAGCGAAGTAGGCGAAGCTCCTTTGTGCAGAGAACTGCGCATTTAGACTTGGGCGTTGCATGGGCGAATGCCCGGAGGGGAAGATGAGGCATGGCCTACGAGCCATGAAACGTGCGAGGGAAGTTTATCCTTCGAGTCAACAAATTGAACAAAGAGAGCGGTTTGATCTCGCCTTGTCGTGACACGGTGTTTGGTTTCAAAACGATAGATTGGTTCCAGCCGACTGAAACTTCGACTGGACCGTGAACAGATTGAGTAAACTGCTGTCTGACTGTTGTCACTTCTCGATTCAATTTGCTTTTCGGTTCAGCTGTCGTCAGACTATCTATAAACTTTTTTTCCCCCCCAGTTTTGCCAGTTTCACAGGAAGCTTTTAATGCGACTGCATAGGAACAGTCGCATGCCTGAGCTCGATTTCACATTAGCGGTTAGGTTCATCCTCTCTGATTCGTTGCACGTGTCGCCACTTTGGGTCTCAATCATCCACGAGATGCTCCATTATAGGTTTTCGCGGTGGACGAAGTTCAGGGTTAGCAAAAATCATGAAGGGAAAAAAAAAGAAATTTATATAAAGCAGGTTTATTTACAATTTTGAATCAGATTCTTCAACCTCATGAATTTTTGTTTACCACCCCACCGCTGCTTTCTTTAGTCCTGCAGCATCATGCATAGTTCCCTGGTGGTAATCCGTGAAACATTCAGGATTTCCTAATCGAGTTTCATTCCATAGCATTCAAATGAAGCAGGCAGGATTTAAAAAAAAAAAAAAGAGGGGGGGGGGGGGGGGGTGGGCGCTCTGACTTCCAAGAAATGGCGTGATTGGATCCCCATCGGCCATTGGTGGCTGGTCCAGCATTGCGCAAGAGAACGTTAGCCTCCCCCTTGGAAACAGCCTCCACCTAGCGCCTCCCTCGCCGCCGCCAGGGTCCGCTTCGTGTCCTCACTATTCATATCTGTTCCGTGCACATTTTTATTTTCTCTTCTTGCACTGATCAGTCTTACAGGTCAAATGAAAACGTACATTATTCGTTCAATTTCGCACAACTACGTCGCGACGAGTCCCCGCCCTCCCAAGAGAAAGTGCGTCTCAGATTGACTGATGAGGGCCACAGTACTAATAAATGGAGATCGACCTATGAAAAACGCCTAACATCCTTGTAACCCTGACTCAGTCAGGCTGGTACTCACCATAATGAAGAGTAATTACTTTTGATAAAGCAATTAATGTTTACGTTTTTGAAGGAACACGCGACCTCCGAGCGACACTCTCCACCGAGCGAGTAACTATGCCTAACATCAAAGCGAATTGCTCCATACTTTCCCATCCTCAATTTACAACTAATTCCCCCCCCCCCCCGCACCCCTAATTGAACATGCCCATGTCTCTCCCACCCCTTGCATCAGTCCTGTTCCACTGCTAATGCCACACGTATTGATTGACCTTGGTACGAAGACAAGACTGTCTTCCATGGCATACGCATACGGGACTCTTAAGCACTGCAGACGCAACGGAAGGTTCCCAGCCACTAGCTTTTCAGCACAAGCATTTATAAACAGGTCACAACTGAGAGAGGCATACTCGTTCATATCCAATCATGGTGCTTCGTGGTCGTAACTATTAACAGGGAATTGCCTGCACGAACTGCGCCGAATCAGACCTCCCACCAGTTTCAACGAACAGAATGAAAAGGAGAAAAACAAAAAAATGTCTCAAAATGCGAAAAGGCTGACTTCTCTGACAAATTCACAAGTTTTTTACGCCTGTGTTGAAAGTACCCGGCTGCCGGATACATTCTGGACGGAGGTCAAATGAAAACAAACTCACGTAAAAGACGATCGGAAGCATAACGGCCTTGGACCTCCTTTCACGTCGAAATTCTCGTGTCACATCCACACCCGCACCGATTCGCAATCAAAACACATCCACATGAAGATACAGCACAACCGATGCTACTGCGCCGTCGGCTACCCGTGTTCTCTACCTGGGAATGTCACCATACCGTGTCATATCAAAGAAATCAGATCTCAGTTAGACTTAGATATTGCATCAGGGTTAGGTAAGCCCTTTAATCGCTTGCATTGGCTGGGGCTACTCGATCGATTGACTCATGCTCATGAAAGATAATACTAATAACGGCTTTAGAGATCTTGTCAAGATCGTCGGGGAAAAAAGCACTCCTGGTTAACCTTCGAGCCTAGTTCTAGATTTATCATAGGCTTAGATCATATGATGACTTTCCGATCCTGTAATCGATCGATGTCGGTCAGAGCCTAGGCAAAGCTAGCTCCGAGAACTTAAGCTCAGCGTTTTCTCGTTGAGTCAATTTTGTACGAGGTTACTAGGTTACAAAACCTAGTAATCTCACTCGGGCCATGCGTGGTATAGCTGTTTAAATGGATAGTAGAGAGGAAACTCGTTTTAAACTATTTTTCATAAGACTACCGAAAAATGTGAATATGCCTCCAAAAACCACTGTCCCGCTGAATAACGATGTACGATGCGCGTCAATCATGCACATAACATGAGGTCTGGCAAACAGGCCTGTACGGTCCGTAGGCCAGTATCTCCCCTCGGTATCACTGCCTACTTGCTTTCCTACATTATCTATAACAAGGATGTGTCAAAATGGGGTCTCAAAATGTTCCACACAGTTTCGACTGTGACATTAGGGAAGGCTACCGAGAATTAGGCCTAGGCGTACAAGGATGATGTAACACCGACCTTCACCTTCGCGACCTTACATGAATCGTCTCCTGGCGTAAAATCAGCTGAGCGGAGTAAGTTAGACTAAGCCTGCTTACGGGATGACAGAGCACAGCAGCAGACAACAACAAGATGAATCACGAAAACACCACCAATCACGATGGAACACCTCAGCCCGCAGTGACTCATGCAAGCGTACGTACGAGCTACGTTTCAGACCTCGACTGGACCTCGGCTCGTCCGATCGCCTGTCGCATGTTCCAACATGCCGGCCACGGTTGCCACATCCGCGTTCAGTAGTGCTCGCGTTGTGAAGTACAAAAACTTCATTTTTGCTTACTTTTTGTAACAACGATAACTCTGATATTTACTTTTTTATTCATCCTCTTGAATAAAATACTGTGAAAGGAAGTTTTTTGATAAACGGAACTTACGAAATCATGATTCGACGCGGCATCCCTGCAGCCGGCTTTTTAATTTGGTCTTAGCGCTCTCTAATCACTATTCTGCAGCTGTAAAGCCACTTCGGGCTAGTTTCCCGATGAATTACCTAATTCATCATCAGTAGGAATTGAAAGCGTCACAAGGACTGTCGGGAACAGCAAGATACAGAAATGCGCGAAAATTAGTTCTATCAAATTTGGAAAAAACCTGAGGACCAGGTTGCGGTAAGAGCCGACCAATGAGAAGAGAGGAGCTCTTCCGAGTCGTGCACATCCCCCCAGCTCTCATTCAACGTGAAGCCGTGCCGTGACGAGACCTCACTCCTTATATGCGCATGGCTTCAAGGGACGGCAACTGACATATACTTGTGGAAGCGTACGCTTCAAACAGTAATAGTGTCTGCGTGACAACTCGTTTTATGGAAGTAGGCATGCTTGAAGATCTATCCAGTCATAGACGGACAAAAGCTTTTTTTATATTCCTACCCGGAGTTGAGTTCCTTGATGGATGAGCAAGTTAACGGGATGGGCAAAGCAAAAGATTGCTCAGAAGCGCAGCCAAGCTGAAGTCATGACAAAAATAGCATTTCACACATTCAGAGAAATGTCCCCATTTCGATCTCGAAGAACCCCAGCTGTGAGAGGTTGACTGCGCCCATGGGGCCAGGATGTCATCACACGTCACTCGTAACGCCAACTTGCTCTACTACGCCGAATGAGGCTTTTTTTTTTTAATAATCTCCCCCTCTTGAGTCACTCAAGAGTCGTGCCTTGTCCTAGGTAGCTCTTGCCATCTAACGTATAGAAAGTAAACTGCTAGTTTATACATTGAATATCGAGATGTCAGTGTTGTGCACGAGTTCATAGAGATCGTGTACTGCGACGCAATATTATCCCAGAAGCACTTCATCGAGGACAAGGTGGTGGGGGGTGGGAGGGGGGGGATGGGGAGTTTGCAGCAAGGTCATTCATGTCCATTCTAGTTCTTTCTCTACCCAGTTCCATCTTTCCTCCATCCAATCCATCTGGTTTCGAGAAGGGGGGGGAGGGGATTACTGGTTGCGTTTATGGTGGGTTTTCTTTGTTAATCCCGGTTCATACCGGAAATAACCTGAAATACTACCGTACTATTTCCATGCACATGCGGCAAAAACGGCGTGAAGGCCAATCCTTTTGGATACCTTATTACAGCGAACAGTATAAGAAATGCTTCACCTGACGCTCCTTGTATTTTAATGGAATCCGAAGAACTCAAATTGATGCAAATTGGATGCTTTCTTTTCGTAAACAAGAAGGGGTTCGTCATGCCTGAATCAATGTTCGCACTAAGGCAATTTCTTGCAGTTTCTCGAACCCAAATTTTCCATGCACATGCGGCAAAAACGACGTGAAGGCCAATCCTTTTGGATACCTTATTACAGCGAACAGTATAAGAAATGCTTCACCTGACGCTCCTTGTATTTTAATCTTCAGTTATTTAATTAAATGTTTAATATATAATATATGGTATGATATGGTAAATGTATACAAAATATGAAAACTATTAATACATAAAAAGCAAGAAAATTTCAATTAAAATCACAAAAGAGCTCAAAGATGCAAAAAAAAAGATATAATTCCGATAGTGGCCTTAATTCAGGTCTGAAAGGGTTAAAACTTCAAAAATATCGCTCACAGCGCATGGCGAGCTCGATGCGAACTTTCTTGCCTCCTCGGATTTTCATCGCACGGCTCTCCCACTTTCAGCAAGGAGCAACAGGAAAATTCCCACGAGGCTCCTCGATCATCCACGAGCCCGAATCGGAAGGCGAGAAGGCGGCACAAAGGAGATCCTCGAACTGATCGGAGATCCTCCGCTCCGATCCAGGAAAAAGGGTGCGAGGTTTTTCCGCGCGATCTCCTTCCTCGACGACTCCTCATGCTTCACCTCGGGCAATTCCTACGTGGGTGACTCCATCAAGTATCCTCGTGAAGGAAAGAGCCATTGCTCTTCGGAAAATCCCACAGTCGAGAAATTCTCGAATCCGGCTATTGGTCCTCTTTTTTTCTTTGAGGGGGAGGGGGACAAGATATGCAGGAAATGAATCCCTGTCGCAATATACGCTCTGTGACATTTTCTACGCTGTCTCAATCGGTTTTCAATTCCAACTTAAAAATTTGAGTTCTTCGGATTCCATTAAAATACAAGGAGCGTCAGGTGAAGCATTTCTTATACTGTTCGCTGTAATAAGGTATCCAAAAGGATTGGCCTTCACGCCGTTTTTGCCGCATGTGCATGGAAAATTTGGGTTCGAGAAACTGCAAGAAATTGCCTTAGTGCGAACATTGATTCAGGCATGACGAACCCCTTCTTGTTTACGAAAAGAAAGCATCCAATTTGCATCCCCATTGCATTTGGTGAGGTGAAAACTGATTCTTCCATCATAGTTCTTGTGGACTCGCACTGACGCTTGTTCCTCTCAACGCTCTCTTCGATCCCGCGTTCCGAGAGAATCCTTTTCACTCCTACAGAACAAGAAAACGAGACGAGGGAAACTAAACTCACCGATTCCACAGTAGTAAGGAATAGGCTCCTCTTCCCCCTTTCGATCGAGGCACAGAGTGGCACCGAATCCCGCAGGTCGACTGTCGACTAAACAACGCCGTGCAATTTCTCTCTCGCGATGCAAGCGTAAGAGACAAGAGGAAGCGTCTTACACGTGTTAGGTCGCACGAAGCGTAACATCGATGCGAGCGATCCATCACGAATGGGCATTCGGACGCCTGAAGCCACATTCGCTGGAACTGCCCGAGCGTGAAAAGTCGAGGAAATCCCGAGCCGGCAACACAGCTGAGAAATAAATATGGAGATGGCGCACAATAGAATGGATTTGTTGCTTTCGAAGCCATTGTTGTTGGTATCATCCATCTTCTCTATTCACAACAATGAGATTATCATAGATTTCCCTTCCCGTTTTTTTTGCTGTCGTGAGCATGATGGAAGGCAGTCATGGCCTAATAATTCAAGAGAGAGTTTCAAGGCCTTGATAACGTTTGGTTGGAACTCTTTTTCTTTCCGGTCCCCAATTTCCACAGTGGGTTTCAAGTTCAAGGCCTGCCTATGCTGAGATTGCTGGGCTTACGAATGCAATAACGTTATGCTGGTCTTGCATCATCACAGTCGACCTATTTTACACCAGGTCTAAGGCATAAAGTCAATCGAACTTCGTGCGAACATTCAAAGGCAAACATAGGCTAAAGGAGACGGAGGTCGACCACGCGGTGCATGGTAGAAGTGTCGGCGGGCCTTGGCAGGGCATGCTTCCGTATTCAATAGGGCAGCTCCGATGATCCCGCGGTCCCTGCTCCGTTATTCCGCCAATGCGCACTGCAGGCCCGCTTTAAGATCTATGAATCACTTCGCACGTGAATCTTCGGCATTCTGCGAAGGCCGATTCCCCATCGTCCTTTACTGCCATTAGCCTAAACTGAAGTTTTATTCCATATGGTTAATAGAAAGAAGTCAAGGAACGACTCAATATGGCCTACTGGTTATGTTGAGGACCTATTGCGCCTGCTGTGTCGGGGCTGTTTTCCTGCCTTTCAAGTATTTAGGAGATAGTTGGGTTGAAAAATCGAGAAAATCCCATTGAAGTGAATAGTGAAGAGCCGCTGATACCAAGAAGTATGGCTTCCAGTTGCAGCACTATACTGTTCCAATGGGCGTGCCATCTCCAGTTCTTTATCTTAGCTACGTGACCGCCAAGTAGATTGCGCCTGCCCGATTCCGTTCTTCTCAATTAAATACATGGAAGCCGTCGGAATCTCCAGCAGGTACGGATCAGTTGACGCGGAATAAATGGGGGACATGGTTCCAAAAATTCGATACAGGGTTCCGTCATCCTCTTTCCTACTGGATATAAAACGGGGGGAGGAAGGGGGAAGGGGTGGGAGGCGAGGGTTCACAAGCGTTTACACGCTTATGTGTTTTGATCATTTGAATGACTCATTGACCATGTCTCGTTGACCCTGTCTCATGAGTCGCGAGCCCCCCCCCCCCACTGATTAGATCTACCTCATTCAGGATCAGGCATTTTCGTGGTTCGACACCGAGTGAGATGCAGAGAGACGCTGAGAGGCACTGGGTGCACTAATAGTTGACAGTGCATCTTTTTTTAGTTTCTCGACGTCAATAGGCCGTGTGCCAAACATTACTCCTTGGCTTCTCGCTCACTGAACTGACACCAGTCGTTCCGATAGTCATAGCCCTGGATAGCTCCTGCCATCTATCGTATTTCGATGAAACTGCTAATTGGCGAGTCGAATAACGAGATGTCACGCTTGTACGCACATTCGCGCGGACTCTCCTCGGCAGGAAAACCCAGCTCGAAGTTAAAACCAACCAAGTCTGGACTTCGTTTGAAAGTTTGTCCCTGCGTGTTAGGGGAAGAGGAGAATTTTTATAATTTTCAGTAATTGAGGAAATGAAATCTATCCTCTCGTTCTCGGCGAAGAACAAATACTAATTTGGGGACGCATGGAAGGATGCACGGAAATTAATCAGCCATTATAAATCAAATTCTGAATTCCTCCGGTCGTCGTGGGTCAACCTCGTGCAATATTTCGTTTCGACACTCCTAAAGGCAGCCATGGGATGTAAGCAGGGCCAATATCTTCTGGTTTTTCTCTTGCACCTCTCTGTATGGCCCCTAACAACGAACTTCCGAGCGGCTTCCTATGTGTCGAATTGATTTCATCGAAGCTTTCAAGCTCTCGAGCGGGTGATGTCACTTTATATCATGTTCCAGGAGGTGAAATGAGTCGATCTCAGAAGCAATGGACGGATTTTCAGATCGAATCGATGTCGAATTCCTTGTAGTAGCATCATGTTCCAGCTAAATTGGTTGATTCTCTCCCCTTCTTGTAACTTTTCCAGGATGTAAGCCTATTGTCTTTTCCCCCCCATTAATTTCATCGTCCACGATAGCAGAAAATTTAATATGAAATCAAATCGTTGGAGCCGAGTCCGTCCAAAATCAAATCCAAAGACACAATTTGCCATCTCCGCCGAGTGGGGCGACAGCAATAAAAGAAAAAGCAGGGAACGAGCTCGAGCCCAAACGAAAGGCGTCATGACGCCGCAGCGGTAAACGAAGAAAGCATTCCGACCAGAAAGGCTTGATTCGCCCGAACGAGGCCCTCCGCGAATGCACGGAAGACGTCGGGGTCCCCGTCGTGCACGAAGCGGAGCAGGGCGCTTCGTCGCCTCCTCGGGGATGTCGCTGCGTTCAGTCTCTCTTGGTCTCGGAGTCGGAGCTTCTTCTTCGAGATCATGTGGTCTTCCACCTTCACCGCGTCCATGCGCTCGAGCAGGGCTTCCCAGTGCTGCGTGATGGCGTCTCGATGCCACCGACTGGATGTCGTCGTCAGCGTCACTTTCAATCCGATGCTTTCGTCGGTTTCGTCTGGAAGTAGGCAAGAATGAGTCTGCGTCCGTGATGGCATTTTTCACACGTGCGCATTCCACCTCTTCCAAATAGGAAATCTCGCCCACCTCGTCCTGATTCGCTGGGAGAAGGGGACTCTCCCGGCTTTAAAGGAGGCCTGTCCTCTTCCGATTTCGAGGTGGGCGCCAGATTTTCCCCAGCAGTGTCCCCCTCGGCATCTATTAATAGACAAACTTGAAAAAGTGCTCGAACTCCTATACACGTGGTAAAATCAGGAACATGTAACTTGGTAACATTCCATTCTTCATTTTTTCTTTTTTCTTCAGAAAGACCATCAAACAAAGGCTTCTCATGAAATGNTTCGCTGGGAGAAGGGGACTCTCCCGGCTTTAAAGGAGGCCTGTCCTCTTCCGATTTCGAGGTGGGCGCCAGATTTTCCCCAGCAGTGTCCCCCTCGGCATCTATTAATAGACAAACTTGAAAAAGTGCTCGAACTCCTATACACGTGGTAAAATCAGGAACATGTAACTTGGTAACATTCCATTCTTCATTTTTTCTTTTTTCTTCAGAAAGACCATCAAACAAAGGCTTCTCATGAAATGTTCCTAATTTCTCTGTCCGTGCGCGTCTGTGTACTTGCGAAAGCTTTCGTCAGCATTTTCTGGAATTCCACTGCTTCAAACTTTACAAAATGCTCCCAAGTTCAATATAGAAACCTCACCCACCTGGTCCAAGTCGGTCGAGGGAAAGGGAACCCGGCAGTTCCTGGATGGGAGTCCCCTCGGACCACGTTCGCTTCCGCTCCCTTATTTTCTTCCCTGTCGCGTGGTAGGTAAAAAAATCGTCGCATCAGGGGTTTCAAACGGAAACGCGCGAGAATTGAGCTGAGAGCGACTCACCGAGCCAGAAGGCGAGAACCAGGACGACGAGGACGCCTCCGCCCGCACCGACAGAGGCGACTGCCACCCCGGCCAGCCCCCCTTTCCCTCCTCCTTCCGACTGCGGTGAGCACGTCTCTGCCTCTCGGCTTCCGCTCAACGACTCTGCTGCGAAGCTGAAACAGGCAGGTCAGGGTCAAGAACAGCATTTTTCGTCATTCATCGTGTTCATATTTGTGTTCACATCACAAGACACGCAGATTGGTAGAATTTAATTTTTTTTTCTTTTTCCGTTTTGGAAAGTGCTGGGTCGAATGAAGGCCCACGCCATGAAAGAATGCCTGCAATATGCTTAAACTTAAGAACATACCCTGGCAAGCACTGGCCGCAATCCAGATACGAAGCAGGACTTCTATAGATCTTTAGATGCAAATGATGGTATGTTGTGAATGCTCTGCAAATTGAAGTAAACCATTTGCATAATTTGTACAAAATTGTGAGACCTATTGAGGAGCTAACTATTTCTTTTCTGCATTAAGAGTCTTGAATTAATGGCTTCATGTAGATTAATTTTTGCAGATGTGTATTTGCAAGAGCAATCTAGCAATGAAGCAATATTTAAGATTCACATATTACATGGGTGTGAACTTGTTCATTTCAGTGAGTGCTCCTGTAGATGCAAAAGTGAAGACAGTAAGACTCCCTTCTCAGCCTTTGCTGAATTCTCCTTTGATTCAAAGACATGAAAGAAGAACAGAGGATGTGAGCATTGGTGAGTATAATTGTTTTCATAGCAGTGCTGCTGCTGTTCCTTATTTGCTGAATTTTAACATTTTTATTGTCATTTAAGGGTATAAACATTTAATTTTCTAGCAGTCCAGCCAGATGGGCAAGGTTCTGCAAGTTCTCTCCCAAGAACAAATTTGACAGGTGAGAATCATGCTCTGTGTACACCTATTTGAAAGGGCATACTGATATTCATTTGCATGCATCATTATTGTTCCAGCCAGTCTATTGCCTTAACTCATGTTAGCCATGCTAAGCCTTGCTGACAGCAATGTTATTATGCTCTTTCCTGTGGAATTTTTTCAGGCTTTGAATACCGTGTGCTTCAGATTTTGATTGAAGTGAGAAAGCAGAATAAAGACATCCTTCAGCTTCTTCAACAGAAGCAGCAGCTACAACACCAAGCCACAGGAAATGATGCTCTTAATGATCTGGATGGTTTGCCACCCCTTCCACTGAAAATACAAGCAGACATACACAGTCAAGTCATATTAATGTGACCACCGGTCAATAGCCGGAATAACCACCTTTCGCAGCGCGGACAGCTGCGAGACGTGCAGGAAGAGAGTCAGTGAGGTTCTGGAAGGTACCCACAGGGATGGCGAGCCATGCCGACTCCAGTGCCGTGGCCAGTCTGCGAGTGCTGCCGCCTGCCTTCTGTGATTGGTGATTTGAAGTTGACGTCGAAAGTAGGTAGTGGTCACATTAATATGACTGGACTGTGTAGATCAATTTGAGATCTATGTCAAAAATAATGAAGACAAGTCTCAAAGACTGGTGTGCTATACTTTTCCTCATTCCTATACTTTTTAATACTGTTGACAATATGAGAGAGACCTACAAGTATTTTTTTAAAAGATATTTTAGTCTTGATAGTTATCTGTTAATACTCACTTCAAATCTAGGTTTCCATTACTTCATGGAACTGTGACAAATGCATGCCCATTTATGGATTCAAGAAAGTTGAAATTCTAGCATATTCAGAAGACTCAGTCCATGCTCCCTGCAAAATACACCACAGGAGAAAATTGAATACAGTTGAAAATGATTCCTGGAAATATGCTAATGATGAAATTGATTTCAAACTGACCATGGGGGAGATTTTACCTTGCTCTTTCCAGTCATAAATCATTTGCACGCATGATAGCTTATTATAAACTTCATTGCTTACATTGCAGATCCACTTGCTCTCTCTGGTGGGAGGTAGTACTGTTGCAGAGGCAACGAGGAATATTATGAGGAAACTTCTCTCTACAAATATGGCTCTGGAATACAACTGGACAGGAATTTTCACATGGATCAAGATGGTATGAAGGGGAAGAGGAGCTTTAGTGCTCTCAAAATGAAGGAGATTCTGATGGGTATGTAAGAGCCTATATTATAATTTTTCTTAATGATGTTAACTCTCATGTGCAGATCTGTAATCTAAATTCTTTTAGACTTCATATCACCTAAAATGTATGTGTGCACTTGGGAAAAATTTTGAAGAGTAAGAGACAGAAATGATTTTAAATGATATCACTCTTTGATGAAGCAGTTTTAAATAATTTTTTCCTGATGTGAGACCATGAAAATAGAGCAATTAAACTGAATTCTATTTGCAGGTGCTGTGCAACAGACTCCCCACCATCAGAATGCCACTGAGAAGGAAATTTAAAAAAGTGCAATGGCATGGTTCTACGGAGCTGCAGATAGGGATGGTGGACGAGCTAGACGGTATCATACTGGTCAGCCATAGATCAGTTATTGCTCAAATTTTCAGGGCCTTCATGTCTTTCAACATAGCCTAGCAGCCAGTTCCTTATATTTTCTTTTAAATTTTCTTTTAATTCTCCAAATATAATTATATAAGAATGCTTAAAATGCAATGGCATGGATCTCCCTAATGTGATCTGGTTTCATAGGTAGATTTCAAAAATGAAAAAAATTATTTTCCATGACCCTGAACCAATTTGTGCATGAAGTCAAGTTAAGGTTAAAGAAGAGACCAGAGAAGATGTTCTAGAATGGTAGGTCATGTGAGTGGTATTTTGTTTTATTAAGGGTAAGGTCAATAATTTCAAAAACTACAATTTTCTATATTTTAGGTCAAAGTTAAAAGTTCTTAGCAACTGATGGGTGCTGGGACTTCTTTGTGGAAGAGTCCGCACTAAGTGGTGTGTTGTGAGTGTCTCTGAACACAGCCCACTCCACCTAGTGGGTGCTGGGACTTCTCAAGGAAGAGTCCGCATCAGTATACAGGATCTCCTAAATGAGTTCCCTCAAAGGTGCTAGAGCACCTTTTACTCTGGTCTCATCAAGTTTATATGGGCTTTGCCTATGACCCTAGTTGTCATGCACTTATTGCTTCTATTGAGGCCATGACCCTTCTCTCCTACTTGAAACCCATTTCATGGGACCTATTATGTAGGTTAACCCTGAGGGCATTAATGTTTTTCTTTCATGTTTCTGA